TAGCGCACAACGTTCATCACATTTATTAGATGAGTTAGAACTGTTTTGAGATGAGAAAGAGAGAGACGCACGGAACGTCTAAGGGAAACTCGGCCCTAACGTTGTCATGCAAAGTGGCCCTAAGGGTTGGATTAAAAGGGGGAACATCTACCCTAATGTTAGCATGCTTGGATTAAACACCTAATGTCTCTCCTACTCCCATCCTAAACGGAGGGACTAGGAACCCTATGGGGATCATGGCAAAAAGCACAAGAAAGCACTAGAGAAATTCAATCACAAGTGAAAGATGCAAACATGGAAAATAAACATGCAAAGAGGGAGGAAAAGAAGTGTAGGGCAGCAGCCGCCACAAGCGCGTCTCGACCTTTTATTAATGTTGTAAAAGAATGCACACAAAGCGAAGAAATGCAGGACAGCAAGCAAACATGAACATGCAAGTACACAATCACTTCGAACAACAACACATAAGTGTGCATCCGAGTGGAAAACAAAAACGAGTCGGCGAAGTATCGATTAAAAAATTGAAACAGTGACATATATCCCAAAACATTTCACTTCTAATGCATCATATCAAACTACGAAGATTCGAAGTGAAATAGTACTCAAACACGCAAGCAAAACAGCAAAACAGGCCTGCTGGAACAGTGTTAATCGGTTAACCATATGCGTTAACCGATTAACCACCTGAAAATGTTTGAAAATTTGAAAGTTGTAGTTGGTTAATCGATTAACCATATAGGTTAACCGATTAACACTGCTCCAACAGCACTAAACAGCAGCAGAAAAGCACTTAACAGCAACTTATCACTTAGGCAAACTTTCACATGATCTCATAATCAATTGTGCACGAAATTGAACCAACAATTCATGATTCAAACATCATGTAAGCAGATTAACACAACCAAATCATGAATCAAACGGATCAAATTAACCAACATTCAATCAAAGATGAAAATCCACATGATTAAAGCAAATAAGCTGAAAACAGATTCGGATCCAACCTTCGGAGCGGAGATTTGCTCCAGTTAGTATTGATTCAACTATAATTGAATAGATCCAATGCTAGAAGTCCGGAATACTTCAAGATCCACACTAATTATTGTAGTAGCAATGAAGATCCTTCAAGATTAATCCAAAATAAGCCAAATAATCACTTCCAGATTCGGATCCAATTGTGCACGAAAATTGGATGAAGAAACTGATCAGATGAAGATGATGGATGGAGGTTTGAGCTCAAAAATTCATTGATTTTATGGAAGAATCAAAGAATTCAATGGAAAAGAGCTTGGGTGAGGGTTTTGGAATTTGAAAATTGACAGAGAATGTGAGAGAATTGAGATGAATTCTGAAAAATAAGAGTGAGAAAATGAAGATTGGATCCTTTGGTTTGGAGTGGATCACTTATATATCACCTAGGCTTGGATCCAAAGGAGAGACTTGGAAGTTGGTTTGTGAATTTGGTTTGGGATGAGGAATGGGATTTTGGAGGGAAAATAAAATTATGAAATGATTCTAGATCCTTCCCAAGTGTAAAATTGAAATTCAAGTGATCAAAATTGGACCCCAAATGGCTCTGCACTGAAAAATCACGTGCATAGGCAAAATCTGCACTGGTTAATCGATTAACCATATAGGTTAATCGGTTAACACTGTTAAAACTTCAATTCTGGCCTGATTTCACTTTGGTTAATCGATTAACACCTTCAAATTTTGAATTTTGACGCCTTTTGGAGGGAAATCTGCCCGTTTGCCCGTTTCTTGCCGTTTTGAGCTCTGTTCAACTTCTGAAACTTGCTGTTGAATATCATAACCATGAAAATGCTTGAGATAACTTGAATGCTGCTTTCTGGGCTAAAAAATGCCCTGTAAAACAAAGTAAAATCGACCGCTCGATCGTTGGGCAAAATAAATGTCAGAGACTCTGATACTCGCTGTTCAAGTTCATGCACTGAGATTAAAACTGAGCCACGGAAAACCTCGATCCCCTATATCAAGAACAAATGCTATGCAATGCAGAAATGAAACAGAATGTAATGAAACAAAAGTCAAGCCAAAAAAAGATTGGGCAAATTTTGGGGTGCAACAAGTGGCTAGTTAATAACCTTGAAATTTGCGGTAATTATGTACTGACGTTTGCACGTTTTGGAGGCGTAACATTTGGTAAGAAAGTTTGTCATAATGACTAACAATAAGCATGACTAAGGTGACGTGGCACTGAGCATGAACAATGTTGAAGTAGTCACAAACAATGCCACTTTTCTCCTCTTAGATATGGGTCGACAATAACATTTTTTTGATGGCATCTGTTACACTTGGATTTTTCAGCTACTAGAAAGTCAACAAAGAATGTCACTAAAAAGATATTGTCATAAAGAATGAAGTATCTTCATATGAAAACGTTAATGAAGTATCTTTAAAAAATTCTAATGGCAGATGATCGATAGACCAACTACAAAGGATCGACCAAGCCGTCGATACAGTTAGACATGATTTGGAGGACTCTCAAGAAAAAAATCCCCAATTTATGTCCAAAATGTCGAAAAGGATAGTCGACAGATACATGTTCAGAATCTTGAAAGGGGCAGTCGATGAAAGTCCTCATTCCATTCAAAAGAGCTCGTCGACGAAACAACGAGGTATAAATACAAGTCTCGGGTCTTTTGAGATATTTTCGACGGTATTTTGGAGCAGTTATCTTCGAGAGATCGTGAAGAAGCGGAAGAAGTGGAAAAAAGGTTACCATTCAACGTGGGTTACAAACAGATATCATCAAAGGAAAAACACGTATGCGCACTAGTGGAAACCTGAAAGATCAAACGTGGAGCAAATGCAAGGACCCCTAGTGGCCATAACAGTCGTTGACAGTTATATTGTAAATAGATTAAATAGCGGACTCATACATGAGGATCAAGGTCTCAAAATTTCATACATTACTCTCCATACCACTAGAGTACCCGAGTAAAAGATAGAAACACTTGAGCAAGAAACATGTATGTGTGTGCGTCCACCCTTTTTTAGTCTTTCTTTTGCTTCCTTTAACGGAACATTGTACTTCTTTTTTATTTTGTTTAATGTTATTTACTGCATTTTCCCTTATTATTTATCAAAATTTGACTTCATTTAAAGTCTTTTATCACGCTACATTTAATTCACACGCACGTGTGTTGACACGAAGTATTTGTACAAATTGCTTTGGAAAATTTTCAAGTTAATCTCATAGATTTTCAAACTCGTGATTGTTTATCAAAAATACCGCTAAACATATATACACCAAGATACGCGCATTGACTGCTTCTAAACTAGAGTTTGTGCTGATTATAGGGCCCGAGTAGGGAAAAACAAGAACGGCCAAATACTTTGAGTGATAAGTAGTAAGGATGCTTGTTGTACATGGTAAAAAATGGAGAGGTGAATGTAGGTAAACCTGTTGTTGTGTTGTTGGGAGCTTGTTGATTAGATAGACAGATGTAGTAAAGTTATGATTTAAAGTTGTGCATTTTTCACATATAATAGTGCTCCCACATTATAGATGTTAATTAGTTCTCCTTTACCATATATCATCATGATAAATGGACTGAAAACCTTGCAATATAGCATCAATTTGATCCCTCTCAGAGATATGACCTCCTATTGCTAGTAGAGAATGAGCAATGGTGCGAATTCGGAGAACATATTCAGAGATTGATTTGTTACCTTTCTTGCTTGTTTTGAGCTCAGATCTAAGTTGATACGCTCCTGCCTTCATTTGCGAGTTGAAGTGCTTATGCATCTTATCCCATATTTCATACAAATGCTTGCAAGAAAGAACACGTGGTAGAACTGCTTCAGAGATTGTAGAGAGGGACCATGTGAATGATGATTGATCTTGCACAATCCAAACTTCATACGATTCAGATACAACATTTCTCAACCAATCATTATCAGTGTTGAACATAGGCTAAATCTACGGATTAACAACCGTCTTGTGAAGTTTGTGAGACAGAATAACGTCCTCACCTGTTGATTCCAGAGCGAGAGATTGTTTTTTTGCAGCTTGATTAACAAGTTTGGAGAAAACATATTTGTGGATGCTTAGAATGCCATAGTAGATACTGTAGCTTGCGATATGTTTGTAGTTGGTTGTGAATTGATCCATGTAGAATCAAGATCCTTCATTGATACTTCTTTGAAGCTTGCAGCAAACTTTTGAAATTTGAGGATTCCACCAATGCTGTTTCTTTGAAATTTCAATCTTCACCTATGGTGAAGACGATGCACACGATAGTGATGATAAATGCAGTGGAGATTAGGTCTCTAGTTAGGATGATACTATACCATAGCAGAATCTATGCATGATGATAATGAAAATATTTGTTGATGTTGTGTCTGGTTTGGTATATATATTTGTGTTGTACTTTATGTTTTGAAATGGTGTTAATGTTGATGTTGTGTTTGGTTTGGTATATATTTGTGTACTTTATAGCAAGAGGTAACATTGGGAGTATAGATATATGGATGCAAATTACAAAGGTTGCTCAGTTTGATTCAGGAATGGTTTTCAAGTGGATTTAGCAATTTTGGATTGTGTTTAAGAGATCCAAAACGTGCAGGCTTAAAGCATGGTTTAACGATCATGAGCACAAATGAAAGGCACTTACCAGTATCCGATCAATTGGATTGACTAATCTGGTTTGGGGATCAGTTCTGGCATTAGTGGTTCACAGATTTTGTATTAAGAATAAGAAGCATAATTCTCTGGTTTTATTACACAATAAAAACTAGTGTGAAAATGTGTAATGGAAAAAGTTTACACTTACACAACTTAAGCATGTTGAAAAATAAATGCCAATCAAGCCAGTTCAGCCTGAAGCCATTATTCATACTTTACCACAACTAACCTAATCAAAACAAAGAAAAAGACTATTATAAGCCTACAAAACAGCATCATAACCATGATGCAAACAATGCAAACAACTCCATACACCAAGCATAATCAGAACCTCACAAGCCTCTTTTGATAATTAGTATTTGTAATCCTTAACATGAAGAGACTCTGAAGCACCATCACCAAGGTTAGAACCACCTTGATAATTTCCAAGGGTTGCTTCTGAATTTGCCTTACACCTAATAAGCAATGCAGCTTGTGCTTTAGGGATATTTTCGGTTTTTCCACCCCAAGCCTTAAGAGTACTCTGCTGGAGTGCCCTTCCATAAGAGAATGCCAGACTCCAAGGCTTCTTTCCCTTAAGTTTGTTCATTGCATTAAGGTTAACAGTTGCTTCCTCTTCACTTTGTCCACCAGACAGGAAAACTATAGCGGGAACCGCGGCTGGAACGGTTCGTAACAAAGCTCGGACAGTGTGTTCGGCTATAACCTCAGGAGCAACCTTAGCTGAATCTGATCCTGGTGTCACCATATTAGGCTTCAAAAGGGTACCTTCAAGAAGAACATGATGGTCACTTAAGGCCTTGTAACACGCTGCAAGAACGCGTTCGGTTACATCGGCGCATTTTGCAATGTCATGAGATCCGTCTACTAGAATCTCTGGCTCAACAATTGGAACCAAACCGTTTTCTTGGCAAATGGCCGCGTAACGGGCTAAACCATAGGCGTTTTCATGGATTGACAATGGAGACGGTTCGTTTGGACCAATCTTTAACACAGCACGCCATTTAGCAAACCTTGCACCTGCTTCATAGTACTTCTTGCACCTCTGACCAAGGTCATCTAAACCTTGAGTTGTGGTTTCGCCGTTTGTGCCAGGAAGTTCAACGGTTCCCTTGTCAACCTTAATACCAGGAAGAACTCCAGCTTTCTTCAACACCTCTGTAAAGAGTTCGCCTATACACAATTGAAAAATATGTCTGGGTCATTAACAGAGTCGTCTCAAATTTTTGGAGGTCATCTGTAAATATGGTTAACTATGACATATTTCAAACCATGGGCGGTAACCCGCCTTCGAAGCCCTCAAAGACGGACGACCCTGATCATAAGTAACATCAATTGTTAATAAACAACTAGCATCTATAATACCTGCAGCAGTCTTCTGGTATAGTGTTTCCTCAAACATGATAACACCACTGAGACACTCTAAACAACCAGGGGCAGTGAACAATAATTCGCGAAGAGTACGCCTGTTTTCTTCGGTATTCTCCACACTGATGTTCGCGAATCGCTTGCCGATCGTGCCAGTCGATTCATCAGCAGCAAGAATACCTTTTCCAGGAGAGCCAATGTAAGCAGCATTGGCAATAAGCTCATCTGCAATTCATGCTAAATTCTTCAGAATCATGAACAATAAAGAGATAAATTTTTAATCATTCCACATAGCACACCACAATAGTCTAATTTATAGAAACACAATACAACCGATTTTGAGATCTTTAATCGCAATTGTAGCGCATTGATAATATAGTTCACATTTGATCGCGACCGCAATTTAAAACCATAAATATATATATTAAAAGAAAATCTTGTTATTTTACTTGAGAAGCAAAATTCTCAAATAAAAATCATATTTATTTTAGAAAATTCTTAAACAAAGATCTAGATTGCATTCACACACTCTTCTTAGTGATTTACAATAAAAAATCATATTTTTATTTTAGAAACCACATACCCTAATAGAATTAGTACATCACAAATGATCAATCAACAAAGAAAAATATTTATAAAAAAAATCAAAATCCAAAAACCATGAATGAGTATGAACCTTGAAATTTGCTCTTGAAAGAAGACATGTTAGTAGTGGCTTTTGAGAATGATTTGGTTCTGTGTGATGTTTGGAAATCAGAGAAGACAAGTGTTTATAAGGAGAGGCATTTGAGTTTGAATAATTATTTATAAAAGTGTTGTTTGAATATTTAATAATAAAGAAATTAAAAAGTAAAAAACAATGGGCAAAGATAGATTCTAGAATTGTGTGTTTGAAGGTTGAAGTTGAATTTAAGACCGCAAAACAAGTTCAACCTTTGCATCTGTCTAAGATTAACGCCCCACACGGAGGCTATTCTTTTTCCACTTACCAAACTTTGTTTCATTTCATTATCATGTCATTTTCAGTTTGTAGTTTTTTATCATTCTTTTTTCTCATAATGTAGGAATAAATTTTGGATTCGTATTCTTTTTCTAAAAATAAATTATTGATTAATATTGGTGACTAAGCTACACATATTAATGATGGTGAAAGGGAGAATGGTGGATTAATTTAGTTTTAAAAGTTAGGAACTCAAAATCTATTTATATTTATATAATTTATTTGAGTAAAAAATAGTTTTATTTATGTCACATAACATATACTTTGATGTGCCACATTTTAAAAAAAAAAGTTTCTTTTAAATAAATAAAAACATTTTATCCATTTTCTATTTTTTTTTTATTTGTCAAATCCAAGTCACTAACACCTACTCATTTATGTAGATTTATTTTATCATATATTCTATTTAATATTTTCATTTATTTAACAATGTATAAATGTTAGGATTGTAAAAATTAATGAGTTTGAGAATTGAATCACCTCTTAAGAAATATGAGGAATCCTCTTTGGAGAGTTTAGTGAAGTTGTTTCTACCATTTAGTATGTAGTACTCAACATTGGCTATAAAGAGCTTTATTACACCTGTATTGATGTGAAAATGGTTGGAGTAGGATTGCAGGGAAGTTAAGTTGATTAACCCCAATCTTATTGATGTTAACAGTATCATGGATGATTTTAATGTGCAAAAGTTTGTTAGGGGCTTAGAGTTTCAATTCAAACATAATTTTAGTGTTGAGGAAGTGAAATGATGGTTGGAGGAACCTATCATATGTATGACTCATGATTATCATTTTTTATTTTTAAACAGTAACGAATAAATGGTGAATAAGGCATTTGATCTGACCTGATCAGGAGGGGATCACGGTCTGGCCACACACGGTTGGGTTGCTACTTGTTCACCCGTGATGATGAGGAGGAGGGGGGTGTACCTGCAAGACACTCTGATGCCAAAGTAAGAAATTGGGCAGAGTGGAAGCAAAAGTACAGAAAAGGGCAAGATGAGAGTTACCTGACCCTCTTGAGGAAGAGGGTATTTATAGAGAGACCCCAGCGCTGGGCCAACGGTCATTTGAGATGGGCTGGATGACCAGGCCCAACCCTAATGACTGCTAGGGCTTACGTGGCGTAGTGAAGACCAGAACGTGGTCTTCGCCCTAGTCCAACTGCTCCTAGATCTCCGGAAAGTGGGTTTGACCTGCTCTTTCGGAGGTGGGCAGTTGGTTGATGACGTGTCCCCGCGGAGGGGAGCACGTGGAGAACGTGCGCCGGGCACGTTGTTCTCCCCGCGGAGGGGAGCTCGCGAGATAACCCGGAGCGCGTTGTTCTCCCCGCGGTGGGGAGGAACCACGGCCGCGCTTTGGTGTGTCGGGGTTGGTTCTGCTCGGCTGGTAGGATGGATGACGAGCTGCTGTTGGAAGCGCTGCTCGCGTTCGGCGGCATCCTCTGCTTGTCTCGTGGGACGCACGTGCCCGGCGTGCCCGATTCGCCTGTTGGGCCGTACGTGATACTAGGCCTGCCGAGGTCGAGCCCAGGCCGGAACAGGAGCCCCCCAAGTCGAAGCTCTGGGGAGAGAGCGAGGACTTAAGGTCGCTGTGTCGGGGAAGAGGTAACAGAGCGGGAGGTTCGTCGGGATCCGTGCACGGTGGAACGGCTACCCACGTGTCGGCGGTGACGGGGTGAAAGCAGGCGAAGGGGTGCGACTGTCAGGCTGCCGCCACGTGTCGCGTGTTTAGCGGTCATAGGGGCGGCTACCATATGTCATTAATGAGCCTAGCGTCGCTTCGAATCCCGCGCCGGGTTATAAATACGGGGGTCCCCGCTCATTTTATTACTTTCAATCTGCTGTTGTGTCTGCGAGGCTCTGTCATCACTGCTCGTCCTCCGGTTGCCGTCGATCGCCGCCGTATCGTTTGGTCCTTTGCTTCGTTCGCCGCCGTTACAAGTGAGTCCTCATTCCTTTCCTTTTTATTTCCGTCGTTTAATTGGAACGTGTGGTCGGGGCATGATGAATGCCCCGAGGAGGGGCGCGAGGCCTGCCACCTCTGGTGAACTTTCTGATGAGTATCCCGGGGAGAATCGGCTGATTCCGATGAATGTCCCGAGGACGGGGGCTTTCTCCGATGAATGCCCCGGGGACAAGTGCCTTTTCCGGTGGGTGCCCCGGGGAGGCGCGCTTTTTCCGGTGACCGTCCCGAGGAGGGATGGCGGGTCGGCCTTAGACGCACCGAGGAGGGTAGACGGGGAGCGAGCGTTTGTTTGTCGTTTTCCGGCCTTTGTCGCCCTTTCACTTGACCTGCGGTGGAAGGGTGGATTTGATCCTGGCTATCGAATTCACCGTTGTCCTCTGCTTTTCAGGTGTAGATGTCGGCTCTGGTACCGGGGATAATGGTCGAAGACAACGAACCCGAGATTCCGGATTATGACGACGAGCGCATTGCCCCGTCCGAGGAATGGGCGGCCGAAGAGCCGCTTTCTACCCCGTCTTGTTTTGTGGCCGATGCGTCCGACGTGTATGCTACGGTCGAGGACACGCCTATAGGGGAGCCACAGCACTGGCAGGTGTACCGACCAAAAGAACATCATTGTATCTGCTCGCGATATGGGCGGCGGATGTTCCCGATGCATGAGTTCTACTTTAAAGAAGCTCGGCTCCGGTTACCGTTCTCCGCCTTTCATCTGGGGCTCTTTGATTGGTTGCACCTGGCCCCGTCCCAACTGCACCCCAACGCCTTGGCTTTCATCCGGGCTTTCGAGGTGGTGTGCTTCTACCTCTCGGTGGAGCCGACGGTACCGCTATTTTTCCGCATCTTCCACTTACAGCGGCAGACGGTGAATGGCCGCCACGGATGGGTTTCTTTTAAGCAATCGACCAAACTTTTCAAAGCGTATAGTGACTCCGTCAAGGACTTCAAAAGCCGGTTCTACCTCGTCAAACCGATCACGCAGCAGGGCTCGGACACTCTCTTCGACGAGGGCGAGCGAACGGTAGATGGCCAGCGGTTCCTCGCGTGGCTTCCTAAGATACATCTACTGTGGACTGCGGAGCATTTCAACCGAGGAACGGATAGGTATATCGTCCGGGCGGGGACCCTCGAGGAGAAAGACATGGCCGCCTATTTGAAAATAGTCGCCTTTGTGCGGTCTCTCCCTCCGTCGAAGCTGGTGACGCCCGACGGTCGGTATATCCTTGACGCGCAAGGGAATGTGCGTACTAAGAAGCGTTTGATTAATACCAAGACCCTGCTCGGTTGTGCGACCGGGGCGGCTGCTCTGGATTATCTAGGTAGGAATGTTCGTTTTTCTCCCCGTGGTCGGGGCTTCGACCGTCGCTAACTCTTTTCTTTGTTTTTGCAGCGAACATGTCTTCCGTCGAGGAGCGGGTGAAGCAGTTGCGTGCCACCAGGAATGTCGTGGTTCCGAGGACGAGGGTGAGCCAGCTGGTCGGACAGGAGGTCGCGACGCCGGGGGGGCAGAGTTCGTCCTCTTCGCCTTAAGGGAGTCAATCTCCTGCGTCTCAAGGAGCATCGAAGAGGCAGAGGTCTGAGGAGCCCCGAGGTGTGGTAGATCTGACGGTCGGTACGGCTGAGGAAGGTTACGTCGTCCCGCCCTGCCATCAGCATCCGGGCTATTTTCATGGTGCCCGTTCTCCTACTGTCTCCGCTAGGGAGGTGAAGGTTGTTCGTCAGGTCGATCGAGAGACTCGTCGACGTGTTCTGGCTGAGGACTTGGCTGCAATGATGCGGACGTTCACGACGGATCTTGTGCTGAACGAGGAGGGCTGCTCCGCTGCTGAGCTGTCTAAACTGCAAGGGGATCTTACCTTCATGCAGTCGCGATTGGCCAAGCTCACTGAGGAGTTGGAGAAGAGCCAGAAGGATGTTGTTGAGCAGCGAAAACGGGCAGAGGGTGCTGAGGGGAAGGTGACTTCGCTGGAGGAGAAGCTGGGGGAAGCGACGGCCGAGGTGCAGGCGCTGAAGGTTCGCACGGAAGTCTTGGACAGCGCAGTCCGTCCGGCCGAGGACGAGACAGATGGAGATCGACGGTTAATCACTCGTGCTGACCTGATTGCCCGTATCCGGGTGTTGGAGAGCGACTGTCTGGAGGCCGTTGAGGTCGGATTCAAGAGTGTTGTTGAGCAGGTTCAGGTCGCCAATCCTGGTGTCGCGCTGGCCGTGGATGGGATCAGGCCATACCACGAGATTGTTGACGGGAAGGTGGTTGATCCCTATCTTGTTGTTCCCGAGGAGGATCCCGCAACTGCTGATCGGGCGGACGAGGTAGCATAGGTTGTCGGGCCTGCGTGCTCGTTGTTTTTATGGCCTGCGTGCCGATGTTTGTGACATCTTTTCTTTGGGCCTGCGTGCTCTGTTTTTGTACCATTGACTACTGAGCTGGTGCCCGTCTTGTGTTTAATATATTTATCGTGGATTTTCTAAGTGTGCGCTCGTTATTTGCATGTCGTTTATGCTCGTTTTTCGTGTTTGTTTATTTGAATGCTTTTGAATGCCTTTGATGTGTATGATATTTCTTGTAAATTTTCTAAGTGTGCGCTCGGTGTGTTCGGGTGTTAGCTCGACGATTTGTTACCGGTGGTGTAGGGAACCGGTCGGTTTGGCCGGCGACGTAGCCGAGCCGTTTCGGGGGTAGTTCTCCCCTGGGCGTGGACGTCCCATCGCGAGCTGGGTGTCCTGCCGCTTTTGGTAT